CTATAGAACTTGTCCTCATTGAGGTTGTGGGTGAGCTGGACCCTATCCCAGGAGGCTTTGGGTGAGAGAGGTGAGAGGCGGGAAATACTGGAATAGTTGCCAACCAATCGCAGGGCACAGACTGACAAACAACCATTCACACTCACGTTCACACCAAAGGACAATTTAGAGTCATCAATTAACCAACCATTCATGTTTTTGGAATGTGGGAGAAAGCTGCAATAGCTGGTGAAAACCCAGACAAGCATGGGGAGAAAATGCAAATACCACACAGGAAGGCCGAAGTCAAGATTCAAACCCATAACCTCAGAGCTGGGAGTAAAATAGCCAACCACTAATTCACCATGCTGGGTTGGGAACCGTCAACACTTTTTTTTTCTTTCTATTTAAATGTTTTAAGAATCTCTGAAAAAAATAACATTTCAATGTCATGGAGCTTTTAGAAATGGCTGCGCTGAGTCTTTATTTTTAGCATTGCACGGTGGAGCTCATGCGGTCTATGGTTAGGTTAAGGACCCCTGCCAAAAATAATATTTTATTTCAGATTAAGGTGCAATAAGTATCATGCTCACTTACTCATACAATAAGCGCACTCGTAAAATTCCCTGGTAAGTATAAATTTTGCCATGTGTGTCTTTGAGACAGAGCCAATAACACTGCTCAACAGCACATTTTAATCAGAGATGGCTTGATGCTGATTTCAAAATCGTCTTTATTTTTGTTGTTTTTACCTGCAAAAGCTTGCCCGATACGGATTTTACCGTGCATTTTAATCGATAGCTATGACATTTCAGAAAATAGTTGCGCCCGTTGCTGAACCTAAATTTTCATTCATAAATATTACTAAACACATGAATATATTACATATGTGATGATGATGATAATGCTGCTGCTGATGAAATCAGTGCAAAAATTCCTGTTGAAAAATTTACTTGATTAAAAAAAAAAAAAAATTTATTGACCGGTGTAATTTTCACCATGTTGTACAGTAGTACACTCATACACTAACTGCACACTTTGACCACAATGCAGTCAAAAGGAAGAAAGCGTCTGTGTGGGTGGTCCAACGGGGTGGACACAAACTGACTGCCGTGTGGTGTTGGTTTTTTTTGTTTTTTTTGGAGGCTTTAGTTCTTCCTGCTGGCATCTGGGCATGACTACAATGTCTGCTAGTTGTGAGGCTAGTAGTCATGTCACGCCGTCTGTGTGGGGATGTTTGGATTGGGGCAAGGGTGCTCATGGGTGGGGGTTTGCCCTAAAAAGCTCGACCATGTTTTCCACAACCGCAACGACAGCAGCACATGCATCAGGACAGAAGCGGGCTCATCGTTGTGACACTCACAGCATGGTGCTGTCTAGCACAGGGAAACAAATTACCTTCCTCCCCTAACTACGACAATCTCCTTCATCTTAATAATAACATATCAATAGGATGCTGATATATAAAACCAAGATTATTCATAGCATGGGCAAAATATTGAATTAAAGACAAGTAAATTTGTTAATTGATCATCTTTTGGCTAAATATGAGTATGTGTTGGAGATAAAAGATAAATATTTGGTATTTCTATTGTATTATTTCTATTATTTATTACGATGAAGTGGATTGGATTCAAAGACTGGTGGGCACAAGTACGACGGGTAAGTGGGCAAGGAAAGCCACGAGTGCATGTGACCTAAACATTTTCAATGCCAATCAAAAAGACATTCGAGAGCGAACATAAATTTCCCCCCCCAAAAATGCAAACAAGACACTACTGAGACCTACTTCAAATGCATTGCCCCATTTTGAGGTAACCGCAATAAATACTGCACGTGTTTACATAAATATCTTGCAGACAGTGACAAAGTGAGTATTATTAACTTTGTAAAGGTTAAATATTGTATGTGGTTCTTGTATTAGACTGTGAACATGTACTTAAGTGCACGTCGTGTAAATGTGATTTAATGTGAAAACACTGTTACAATTGAGAAGACTGATGAGTCCTTTTGTCACAATAAATTGCATCCACCGTGATGGATGGGATTGAAACTGGAGGTGTGCTGGGCCAATTGTTTTTTTTTTTCTGGAGCAAAAACAATAAATGGCCATTTTCCATCCTTTCAATTATGTTTTCCTGCCACAACAGCACACTAATGTAATGAAGCATTATTGATCTGGAACCAATTTTCTCCAAAGGGGATCCATAGTTTAATCTCTTTTATTGCTGTGTTCCCATATGCTGCCACAAGATAATAATCACAAATCAGGTGAGAAGAGTAGTGGATGTGTGTGTGACACTATGAACAGCCGCCATCGAGCTGACGCAACGAGCCGCAGTCATGACACTCACAAAATGCTGCTGAGTCATTGGATCTCTTTTCATTGTTTATATCAGGAGCTTTGCCAAATCAAGTGCTGTACTGGAGCTATCACATTCACTTGGCAGGCTCACACTAGGCTGTAAATAATACACACGGGCTACAGCCGTGATTCTTCACAAAGTCGTGACGAGGAGAAATTGGGTCTGGTCCATTTCATCTTCTCATTCCAAAGTTGATGCCTTTCTAATAGGGCCGCAAGTGGAGTTAAGTTCCTAAATTAACTTTCAATATGCTGCCATCCTTGAATAGCATTTTGGCTCACGCTTGTGGAGAATGTTACATTGGTTCTCGATCATGCACGGAGGTTATGAATCAGGAAAAGGCAACATTCTTAAGTGCAACCTGCAAAGTCAAGTAAAATATGCCTTATCAGTCACAAAAGTTAAAGTTCAAGACATTATTTGGTATGACCTCGCGCAAGAGACCAGCTCAGTTAGCGTAGGTGTCAAATTTTTTAATGTCTTTGATTTCTGTCGAAAACTAATTAACCATCATAAAAATGAGTGACTATTATGAAATATGATGGGATGGTTACTGGGGTTCTGACACAGATCATTGAGTTCGGGACAAGAAGTGGAACTGCGTTTAGCCACAAACACAGCGCAGCTCATCTTTGGGCTTGCAGATGTCATGGTTGCTGGCTAGCTACATGCTTAAGGCAGAACGTCAAACTTATTAACTCGTTTAAAACACGGCATCACAAGAAAGTAAATACCAACGCAGTGTTTCAAACCAAAAGGCAGTACAAACACAATGTCTACCGGCATCTATAGCCTCTAATTAGTTTGTCCAAAGCCATAAGGGATTACATTTTATTAGAGTTATTGTTGGTATTACCATTGCCAGGGCATACATTGACAGGGACTGTATTAGTTATTAAGAGTACAGTATTCCAGTATTGTTACAACACATCATTTGGATACACATTTTGATTGTTAACAAGGTGTATGACTTTCAGGAAACATATTTGGAAACTTGCAGCAAACGAAATGGATGTTACATGCTTCAATTTTAGATAGTAGAACCATGAGACTTCTCATAGCCAATCAATGAAGAGTTCTAAGGCTCATTAGGAAAACAGTTAAGTCAATATCACCACTCGGTACCTTTGACCTTTGAGACTTCCCATTTACCTGCCACAAATGTGAGCTTTTACACTGAACTTCATAACAATGAAAATCAAACAAAAACACTCACCCCCCCTAAAAACAACACAAAAACCCCAAAAAAACAAAACAAATATTTCATACGATATTGTCGAATGGTTAACATGCCCGCCTGACATGCTCCGACCTTCCTGTGTGGTGTTTGCATGCTCTCCCCATGGCAGCGCAGGTTTTCTCTGGGTATTTCCGTTTCCTCCCAAATTCCAAAAACATGCATGGAAGGCTATTGGAACACTAAATTGTCCCAAATTGTGATTGTGAGTGCGAATGCGAATGCTGTTTTCCTGTTCAATTGGATGTTCTCTGCTTTCACGCGGCTCCAGCTAGACGTCTCAGAAAAGTGTAATTGATCACCCAAGCACTTAATAGTGGTGTTAAATGCGCTAGCAGTATCATTCTTGGGTTAGCTTAGCATTTAGCATGGCTTCTCTGTCTTTGCTTGTTATCCCTCCGTGAGTATGATACTTGTCTAGAATGTAGCTTGTTTCTCGCCAAGTAGATGACGATTACTGACTTATGAGCGACTCCGTAATGTGTTTAGGTGCACTAGTGACCAGCCACAGCTGTTGCTCGCTAGCTGCTTCTGCATGAGGAGCAAAGAGTTTCCCCTCGACCTTCTCATGCCCGTGGGTGGTGACATGTGAGCCCAGCAAAGCTTTTTGGGATCATCTCTATCATTCTACCTCTTCTATTTCCTTCGTTTGATGGCTATTTATTATGTATTAATGAGGCACAAAATATAAACGTTGACATATTTATTATGTATTAATGAGGCACAAAATATAAACGACACTCAAACAGCGATGCAAAATGGCTTATTTCGAGCCTTGATGTAATAAATTAACTGCCAAATAAACTGGAGGAAACACATTTTAAGAGACCTATTATTGTGCTGGTATGTGTGCATATGTTTGCACACTTAAAATATCATAGCTTGACTATTCTGTTAAATTTTCATGATGACTGGGTGAATCCGATTAGGATATTTATGGCATGTCATAGTGATACTGAACCTTGAAAGGTACGAAACAGCAGTGTATATATTTGGTTTAATTGGGTGAATTATGAAATGTATTCCATTATTTTGAGTGCATAGACGGTTGTGCGTTTCTCTCAAAATATTCTCAAGGCCTCTTCTCATGGCTTTGGTATTCCTGTCACAAAGGTCCACATTTCCTGTGCCTGCCATTTTCCCATTGTTGGTTATTCAGCATTGTTTGTAAATATGATTGAACATTCCACAGACACACAGGTTGCATATCTATTTCGATCCAAGACAAATCAAAGTTCTTTTGATTTCCCGTATGTAGCGCTTCAATGCAACTAACAATCATAATGAATGCAACAAAGGATGAGACCTCACTGAACTGCTCGCTTTACAACAGTGGTGCAAAAGAACATGATTGAGTATGGATTAAGTGCAAAACAATAAACTGAGTGACATGAATGCAGAAAGAGATGAAAATGAGCTTTCATTTTGGTAAAATACAGTTTATTTGTGAATGTACACTGATTAGCGATACATCTAAAAGCAACTCCATAGATTAGCATTTATAGAGGAGGGTGTTCACAGGTCAAAAAGTCGCTTGGCTCATTGTTGGCATGCCAAAGAAAACTTTATTGACTAATTTTAAAAATTATTTTTTTTAAAACAGAAAACATGGATTGGGAAGCATTAGTAGCGCAAGGTGCAAAGAAACCAAAAACTCAAAATGAAGCAATGGATGTCCAGTTAACATGGGAGCAATTTGTGCCCATAAAATACTGAATGAAAAAACACAGAATAAATATCGCCATACGAATGGAGGATGATCAAGACAAGCAATGCAATGAAAGAAGCTGAAAGCATGCTGCTATTAGGTTGAGTAGCTACCCTTCCTCCCTTCTCCATTTTAAAAATCCACGCACTCCAGCCAGCTGTTGGCCAAAATCAAGTGTTTGGATACAACCAAACATACAGCCCGACGTCCAAATCAACCAGTTTGCGCTGCTGGCTTTGATCTTGGTACATGGTGCGTCCCACCAGGCAGGGGTTGCGGGGAGTGCAGGTCAACTACAGCTCATCTGACAGACATCACATTTGCCAAAAACGTTGCACGAGAGGGGTGGTGAAACGGGCTGAGAGAGGGATCGAATGTGCACATGAAAAGCTATGTTCTGAAGGAGTGAAGCAGAGCAGGGGCCATGTAGTCATGAAGGGGATTAAACAAGAGGTCCCGTCAGGGTCAGTGAAGCCACACTTTGGACCACAACCCCTTGTCTAAAAACAATACAATATGGCTTTAAAATCACACACTCGTTCAGCACATATAGCAACACTGTACAAAAGTCATCCCTGCTTCATACTTCATTCACTACACTGGAGTATGAGGGCCAGACTGAAAAGTGGAGGAGGGGGTTGGGGGGGGGGGACTGCTACATACATAGATAAAATCTTAGAAGGAAAAAAAAACTCTTATTTACAAGAATAAAATCAATATATGAGGATAGACTTAATTTTATAAGAAAAAAAACCATCACATGAATGAAAGTTGAAATGTTACGAGTAATTTTATGACAAATGCAAAATTACGAGAATAAAGTTGCAATATGACAAGAACGGTTTTTAATGTTACAAGAATACAATTGTACGATTAGATTTTTTTCTTTCATTTTGAAAGAAGAACGTAAGAGGATAAAATACTATGAAAATGGAGGTGTTAAAAAAGACATTATCCTAGATTGAGGTTGAAATCACTTAATACTACTCGCAGAGAATCACTACATTTATATTTGCATGGAAATGAAATAAAATGTGGTATTCTTCTTCCATTCCACATTTTTATCTGGTAATATTGCTCTCCCCCCAAGTTTGGCCCTAATACTCCTGTTATTCTGATATCAGCTGGTGACTGCAGATGTTAGCCGTATCAGCACTACACACTTCCTGTTTTGTTTTGTTTTTTAACTATTTTTGCTGAGCACAGACATCATTTTGCATATGAACAGTCTTTTTTGTTTTTCCTTCTTCATACTGATTTCACCTTCTGGGTCTTCACTTGTCTCAATTTAGGCCTTTGCTTTGCTACTTGCTCAATTTTGACCACATACAACTTCACAGTTTCCTTCTATGGGGAAACCATCCCACACGACAGTGGAAAGTGCAGCACAATAAAATAAAAAAATATAGTTACAAATCTATAGCCGACATATCCAGTTGTCAAATATATCTGTGTTATATTTATGTCCTCTACTTTAAAAGATAGTGTGAGCAACCGCTTCTCCTCCTGGCGAAAGACAAAATAGGCGCCTTGAAAATAGCTTTGAAATGAGTACAAAAGGATGCTGGCTACAACAAATGTTCAATAAAAAAGGTCAGATTTCATGCGATGACTTCAAGCTACACTAAAAAGAAAAATTCCGGTTTGTCCCAAAAGTAAGTAGGAGAATGCTACATAAATATACAGTGTCCTGCTGGCTCTTTTGAGATGTTTATGCACAAAGGCGCTCGACTCCAGTTTGGTGAGTAAACGTGTGTTGATGCTGCAGAAGCGCAAAAACAAGAAGAGTGTTGCACAATAAAAAGAGCCCACTAAACAAATGGACACAAACCCTGTGGCCACTGAGGGAGGGCAGCTGTCCAGTGTGATGTCATCTGTCATGCAGCCTCTCAGTGACTCAATGTACAGGCAGATGAGGATTTAAAAAGAATGTGCATGATGCAGTTGTGACTTGAGAACTAGATTAAAAAAACATGAAATAATTCATGGTACTTTTACAAATTCTAATTTCAGCACGATTGTGCAGGATGTCACTGAGCCAACTTCGAGTACTGCATGCGTGATTCACTTGAAAGTGCCCAACCACATTCCATCTGTCCATCTGCCTGAGGAACCTTTTTTTTTTTTTGTTACAAACCAATTCTTTTTTTTTCTCCAAATCATTTCTTTGCATATAAAAACTCTGAAAAGGATTCAAAACAAAAATCAGGAGAACAAAGACAAGACAAAAGACAACACAGAAAAAGATGCCCTCCCCTTTCTATCATCTTGGTGGCCCCTCAGGCCTCAGTCTTCTCTTTCTTTTTGTTCTTCTTGAGGAAGGATGGCGTGCGGAACTTTTTCTTCTTCTTGGCATTGGGCGACTTGGAGGGCGAGCTCTCCTGAGACAACACCTCCTCGATCTTGTCGCCGGAGCGCAGCGTTATCTCCACGCTCTCCGCGCTGGTGTTGAGCTGGCTGACCCGTTTGCACAACTCTTCGTCCGCGTCGCAATGGTTGTCCTTGCCGTTCATCAGGCCCTCGTGGTTGACTGCAGGGGCGGGGATTGGAGGGGGGCAACATGTTATGCCAATGAACAAACGTGACACAGATTACGTTTCATTCAGAAAAATAATTACCGTATTTTCTGCACTATAAAGCACTTCGGATTATAAGGCGCATCTTCAATGAATGGCCGATTTTAAATCTGTTTTCATATATAGGTTGCACTTCATTATAAGGGGCATAGAATAGAAACTACAATAGTGGCTGCGGATGCGCTATGCATACACTAGATGATGCTACGCTAAATGGAATACAATACAATACAGCTTTATTTATATAGAGCTTTCACAACCGCTACAGCTGTAACCAAGACACGAGAACTGGTCGCAAACACGGACATGAAACATATAAATACAAATGGCATTACAAAACAATAAATGAAAGACAAAAGTTATGAAGACAATTGATTCAACAAAAAGGCACACAAACCTTGTGGGCTCACATCCACAAGGGGCTAAATATCCTTAGAAGTGTTGCTTGTCTCCTTCTTCCTTCGTTTAGTCAGTAGTTAACTATGCTTTTGGTATTATCTTCGTTTCATAATGGCTGCGCATAGCTCAAAGAAGTAGTTGTTGGAGTGTGTGTTGGCGAACGCACATGACAATTAGTGTCGGGTAGAACCCTTTTAAGTTACAATTGGTTCCTGCTAATAATCACCACGACATGGCAGAGGAACCCGAACAGAGAAAAAACTCAATGGGGACTACAAAGAGACTGTAACTCCATATATAAGGCGCATCGGATTATAGGCCGCACTGTCGGCTTTTGAGAAAATGGAATGCTTTTAGGTGCGCCTTATAGTGTGGAAAATACAGTAATCATCTGTTGATTTCAAAGAGTGAATCTCATACTGTTCTACTAGCTAGCACGCAGACTGGTGGGGGCTCGTCACATGATTTGTTGTGACACTGTGTTGTATCGCTATGCGGGTCCACATAACAGACACTTCAAGGAAAGATTATTATTATGAAACACAGCGGCACACGTTATTCAGCCTCAGGCTCCAACTACAGACATTTGAGCACAAACCGTACAAACATATTTGAGTGACAGCTGATGTTTAGAATGTTTGAAGTGCATACAGAGTCGGACAGCTGGGATGAGGTCTCTTGTTTTTCACAACTCTGGAGGCTCACATTTGCGTGGCGATTTTTAAATTCATTCAAATTTGGCAGGTTAATTAACAACACTCTTCTTTGTGGCATGTCAAATTTATAAGACATCTTATTTTTACTGAACGTGGACAAATGAATACTACAACTAGTATTATTTATAATAGTGGGGGAGACCATTGCTTTCTTTTTTGTAATTCCATTAAAACTTGAAATTTCAGTTTAAGAAAGGTAAAGGAGGCATTTCAGGCTCACAGGCACAGCGTGTGTGCCAGCAGTTCCCTGAGGATTTTAATCAAGTGCTTGTTGCGTAAAGCTCAATGATGAACATTTTCTTTGGTTGACACCAATGTTCACTTTCAAGTAAAAAAAAAGAACAGAGATAAGTTTTTTTTTTCTCCCCCAAATCCTGTGCTACACGTTACCCCAATTTAGTGAGACAATTTACCCAACTTGGGGCAACATGTCACATGTTCACACTCTCTATATGATTGTTTATGACCAAAGTGAAACAAAATATGAAAATGAAATAAATGCATAAAATATACTGTTACACATTTCTAGATGATGTATTGATTTCAAAAAATAAATAAAAGTGTAAAAAGTGTGACATCATGCTCCTGGTCTCCCCCCCATAATGTATCAATTGTGTAATTTATGATTAATATTATAGTTAAAAAAAATAAATAACTGTGATGACTGAAAAATCTGTCGTGAAATTATCCTCCTTCGTTCAAACTATGACACAGGTAGCTAAAAATGCAACTTTATTTGGATTTAACGTGCATGCTTTTAATGCCCCACACTACACTCGTTTGGTAAATGTATCACTTGCTGTCTTGGGTACACAAACACCATTTTAGGTGAGTGCTGCACTTCCGCTGTCCTCATGCTCGACATATTTCATAACATGGCAGGGTAGAACCTATTGACCTGATAGCCTAAAGAGCCTGTCCTCCATTCACCATTAAAAAAAAAAAAAAAAGCAGGGCTCGGTTTTGAACAGCAGACTCTATCCTCTGTTCACGTAACAGCCTGCGAGTGTCACACTTCTCAGATTATTTTCATGGCACAAAAGAAACGCAACCAACACACTGAGGTCATCCTGAAAATGAAGCATGTAACAAATGACCTTCTTTCAAGCACAACTGTCTGACCTCACAGTTGCGCCATCATAAAAGATGGCTCCCGTGAGTCTGTGCAGCGCTGCGGGTTAATTGCTCCTGCTGGCGTGTTGTTGTGTGTGTTTAGGTTTCGAAGGGAAGCTGACAGGAAGTCAATCCTGTGGTGTTGTTTGCAACTATTTAAGGAGGAGCGGCTAAATGAGGTAATCCTGCTGGCTTCACATGTGAAGGACATATGAAATAAATAGAAGGGGAAGGGTACAGTGAACACCCGTTCACATACCAGATCCATCTGCAATAGGTGATAACATCATTTAAGCATCTTGTAAATGTATCCGAACACAATAACCCCAGCTGCAAGCTAGCTTAAGTATAGATTTTTTTTTAAAGTGCGCACCGGTGAGTCTGACTCTCCTTTCCCACCTGTGAGGGCATTATAGTAAGCATATCGTTAAAAAAAAAAAATCATAAAACAGGTGAGTTTCGAAAACGGAATAGTGCTTAGGCAAGAGCTCGAAGTTGCCATGGGAAGCGGCTAGCGAGGACCACTACTCCCCTGATTCAAAATAAATTGTGCCCAGCGTACAGTACAAGTAGACTGTTAGCTTAAAAAAAAAAATGCATATTTTTATCGTATATATAGTCTGTATTTTATGGCGATGTTTTCATTAAGAGTCACAGACTTTTTGGTGTGACTGAGGTGCTAAGCTAGCTGGTGTTCCCAAATTCAAGTTGTGACATGAAGGTTTCAGTTTTCCCCATTCAGTTTTGTGTTTAGTGCAGCCGTTTCTGGTGAAATGGATATTTATCATCAAATTGTAGATTTCCATGCATGTTGCCCACTATTTTCTTTATCCACCAACACGACGGTTATGAGTGAGTTTATGAGTTTCATCTCAACAGACACACAGGCCAGGAGCATAAAGAGGCAGTGACGGGTACCTTTAGCTGGAGTGCTTTGTGGCGACTGGGTGAGAGACAGAGACTGAGAGAGTGTGGAGCCATCGTCCGAGGTTAGCTCGTGCTCGCCATCTGCAGGGGTGGTGGGGGTTGGTAGCGGGTGCAGAAAGAGCGGATTGCAAGATGGTGGTGCGGGGGTGTTGGGTGGATTGAAGTGGTGGCAGCGGGGGCGAGCGGGTCGGGGAGAAGCCGGGGGGGAGGCCGAGTCAAGAGATTAGTGATAACACACACAAGTTAGGATTCAGACACGGACAGATGCTTTTCTGAAAATTTCACAGAATGCTCGCCGGATTCTTATTTGGCTTTTTGGAGAACACGGTTTCTCTTTCTTGGACATTATTATTTTGACAGCAGCCTACAGTAAAATGGAGGTTCTTCAGGATGTTCTATTTAGTTATCGGTGTCGCATGTTGCATTAATTCAAGGCTGGAATTTGCATCTCTACCTTGAGCTTTGAAACCAGTGGTGGGCAAAGTATGGCACACGGACCAAACCGACCATGAGTTTTTTTGGGAGGAATTTTATATCTTATGTGATCAAACAAAATGTTTCCAGCGGCAACATATTTGTTAGTCCAGTTAATGTGCCAGTGCAGCTCAGCAGAAGTGGCTGTGCACCACTGATGCACAAAAGAAGCTCCCAAATCACAATGGCACGTTAATAAGCACGCTCAGGGTTACGCATTGAGTACACTGAGGCCTCGCTCACAACACTTGCATGCATTCAGGTTGCGTCACAGGCTGTGAAAGTGCTGATTTGCTTTTGTGTCGGTGCTTACATGTCTGTGGAAAACTCACAAACATCGCAAATACCTTGTTTAATATCCCCTTTTGACATTTATGAAATGACTTGTTTGGATGACTGCTTGGGCCCTCTGTGTGTGCATGTAGCCATGTCATGTTTTAGGCCAGCCCAGACGGTCTCCAGCTGGCATCCAGATTGGCCACTGGGGGATTCACAGGATTGCGGGGGCAACCGTGTCATAGCAACGACAGGCAGTCATGAGGCGGGTGTGATGACCTGCTGTCTGTTCGTTCTGCCATCTTAGTCAAACTGGCCTCTTGTGCCCGCACGCCACACGCACGCACACACCCACACACAATGACACCGTATTTGTGCTCTGCATGCACATATAGTAGATGAACACATGTATTGAATGCACATCTTGCAAGGTTGCACGTCTTGAGTAGAATGCAGTGTTGAGACTTCCTTCTCTTCTCTGTTCACTATTGATTTTTCCCATGCCTGTCTAAGAGCTAATATGATTAGCATTTGCTGCTCAGTGTGTGTATATGTATGTTTGTACACAGAAACAAAGGGTCTGTTGTTTGGAAAAAAAAGTGGTTGTGTGTTTTTGTGAGTTTCCTGGGACAGACGTCAAAACACACACAGCAAACAAAACATGAGATACAATCTACACACTCTAATGAGATTCGATACATGAGATTCATTTAAAAAGTTAACAATTCATGGATAGTTATTTGATAATATGTTTGTTATTGTAGTTTTAAGTTTCCAGTGATGCCGCGCATTATACCGACGTATTTTACTCTTCATTTAGCTCCATGGAAATGGGCAAAAAAAGAGTATGATGCAGAAGAGTTGTACGCCATGGCAAACTACGAATCACAATAATAAACACATTGGTCAATTCATACCTCAATCATACCGTTTAAAAAAAAAAGAAAAAAGAAAAAGCATTAGTATGTTTGATGAAGCAGGCTTGTTAATGCATATCTTTCCTCGATGGCATTAAACTGGGCTGGTGTGCCTCATGTACTCTGGCCCTGTGATTTACTGTGTAAGAAATCCACATTTAGTCCTGTTTGAAATCTTCAAAACAAATGAAACGAAATGAGGCCAGTTATATTAGAATGTTCAACTTTCTTCAAATGCCTTTTATTTTGCTAATGAGCCAACAGCGAAACCACGAAAAGATGATGTCTGTGGTTCATCTAGTATGGAAAAAAGAAATATTGCTAAACTAATCTCTATGGACACTGGCGGCACTATTTTCCTAAACCGACAATCTTACGTGTCTCTGAGCGCACATAACCAGGTGTATTATTGAATCTGTCAAGGGTCTTTCATCGTTGAACATGAACAACTTCAGTACCAACTGTCATGGAAAAAAAAAAAAGTACGTGTGTGTGTGTGTGTGTGTGTGTGTGGCTGTGCACCACCTACCGAGACCCAGTTGCCTTCTTTCCACGTTTTTGCGATACTCTTGCAAGTCCTTCTCTGACAGCTCACTGAAAGGGTTGGGAGGCAGTGGGGCCATCTGTTCCTCCTCTGTGGGCACGTATGGCTGCCGTGGACACACACAAACAGTTAGGAGGGAGGCACTTGTAGGCCTCCCAAAAAAGGCACATAAAACAGTGAATAGGCGACAAATAGCATCGTTAAGGCATAGAAGAATAAAATCACACATCCACTCCAGTATTTAAAATATTTGATCATTTCCATCAAAAAAGCTTCTAAACTATGGAAAACTTTATAGTAACACTTCAAACTTTCAAGACAGAAATATTCTGATATCTTGAACCCAGATGGAGAAATGTCAAAACTGCACAGTCAAGACAATGAAACACACATACGTAGCCATTGTGGTAAGTCACAGGCATGCACACAATACTACGACCTGACCATATCTGTGAAACATCCGACTATTTCAACACGCCATTGCATGTTAACGTCTAAATAACAACACTTCAGAACGATTTGATGATGTGTAGTTTGTGAATAATTTTTTTTGTGACCATTCTAAGACAACAAACCATGCAGTTTGTGCTGTGAAAAAAATAAAAAACGATACAAAAGTCACAAAAGTGAGGAAAATGTTCAGATACTGCACACAATCATAAATACATATTTGTGGGTATTTACCAGAATGTGGATCTGCACTTGAGCCTTCAACACAAGATACCAACCACACTCAAGTCACCATTAAAAAGTTACGTTTGAATGTTTTTTACATCAATATGTATGCATTACTTTGGCATTTAAATAACTCTACGCTCATAGCACCATCATCAATTGAAAGATTGAAAGACAGTGTATTCTGCACTGTACTGTAATTGTTTAGGTTTTGCAGCTGGATGTCGTCACTTGGCTCCCCCTTGTGGCCATGAGGGGTTACTATGTGACCACTTGAAGTAAATAAACAGCTTGGATCTCAAAATAAACGACAACGATTTAGGCCAAAGACGGACTCCACCCTAAAACTGTCACCAGTCAATCACAAAGTGATTGTGAACGGGACATTTATTGGGATCGATCCCACACCAGCTGTATTCAGTGAGTGCTATGTGAACCGCTGCATGGATTCTGGCGACGAAAACTTCAACGCAAGATCGCCTCAAAACTACAGCAGTTAATGTTAATTTGTTGGTCTTTATTTATGGACTGTGTCTTACTCGTCGTGGCTGATCAATTGGGATGCCAGCGAGGTGCTGCGAGCGTGGCCCTGATGTCGTCACATCACACCGATTCTGCTCTCGAATCTGTAAAACAACGAGGCTCATTAAAAAAAATGCAAAAATAATATAATAATAATCATAATAATTATAATAATTCTGTTTTACTAATCCAGATGTGAACTGCCAGTACATTTCTGAGCTGGCGTCCTCAATTAAAAGTGAAAGAAGTCCGGTTCAAGAAAATCATATTGTATAGCATGCATTATTACAATTCAGTATTATTTTGTCTTCTGCAAATTAAAGTAAAATAAAACATGATTGTATAATATTCTAAAATGTATTGTATGACATTCACAAACTTCTTAAATTTGTTACAATAAATAAAAGTTAGGTGTGCTTACAGTACCTGAAAATGGAAAGTCAATGTATGGAGTAATGAAAAAAATAGTTTGCTTGGCTTGGGTTCCTTACATTAATGCTAAACTACATTTGGAAAGATGCTGCAGATCTGCACTCGAATGAACACTTACAAGATCATTACAGATCCTCCTTTCTTCTTAGGTTTCAAAACATAACAATATACAGTATGTCTACACTGAATTTCTTTCTTCCCCACCCACTACCCTTGCACATATTTCCTGTGTGCATATTCTTATTGCTGAAATGACTACAAAAGTTGCCAGAAAGCTGTGGTTGAGTTAACAATACAATACCCCACCAACCAACCACAATAGCCCTACATATGAATAAAACAAAATAATTGCGCTGGTTAAATTCCGAATGTTGTCAAAATACTACTGTATCAGCCTACAGGCAAAAAAAGGAAACTTGCAGTCATCAAAAACAAAACAAACAAAAAAAAAAAACTAAACATTCAGAAACCCATCTTTAATTACTTAACAGTTAGTTAAGTCATGAACTAACTCTTAAAATTCTTCTTGCAGTCTTTGAATCTTGCCTGTTAAAAGATTTCATCATCCATAATTGTGTGACGTCAGACTCACTTTGTTCCTCTTCTGCAGTACCTCCTTCGGGTCTGTGTTGAGAGGGACAAATTGATTGGGGTCCTCAATTTTGATCGGCGTTCCAGGCTCCTCTGCTTTCATCCACTGTAAATGCAAATGCAAATCAGACTAAGAATAATAGGGCAGCCATGAAATATTTTTAGAATCGATGATTCCACCCATCATCTCATATATATATATAAGATTTTATTTTACTTTTTCTCAAATAGAATTTGAATTTGAGTGACACGGTGACGTAGAGAATAGCACCTTCACCTCAGAGTTTTGAGGTTGGAGGCTTCAATCCGGGGTCATGCCTCCCTGTGTAAAGTTAGCATGTTCTCCTCATTCAAAGAACTTGCTTCTTAGGTTAACTGAAGACTTTTGCAGTAGTTGTTAATGTGAGTGTGAATTTTTTTTGTCTACATGTATGGCAAGAAAAGATATAAAAACAGCCATAGTTGGCATCAAAAGCCAGGGAGGTTTAAAAAAAACCACGACATGGGAGTAAAACGGTATCTTCATCAACCAGCAGATGGCAGGGTAGTATTACGCTAGAATGCTCCACTCAAGACTCTGACATCTGGTCGAGAGGAAATTGAGTCAGAAACCGGAACCCCACACCCATGTTCATGCGAGCCACTTAAGTTGTGAATCTGTCAATTTGACGTGGTGTCAATTGGGCTGACCGTGGTTGTCCTGCTGTGGTTGTACCGCTCGTGTCCACCCTCCACGTCGACCTTGGTGTAACTGTTAGGCGAGTTAAGCCAGCGCGTCTTCTCCCGCTGCTGCCGCTGCTGCAGAAACTTGAAGGGAAAGCGCGTGGCGTCCACGTCCTCTTCGAACATAAACGCAGTGACGGTGGCGGGGATCTCTACATCGCTCTTGTGCCTCGGCTTCTCACGCATGATGGGATGGCGGTAAGCATAGCCTGTTCTATAGCCCTGTGAAGGAAACAATAAATGACATAATCAATAACGAAGGCTCAATGAGAGTCAGGATCAAGGCTGCCGTTTGACCCACCAGGTTGTCTAGCATCCGCATCAGAGACTCAAACTCCAGCTCGCCGACCTTCCACTTGTAAGGACTGTTCATGTTTCCGGAAACTGTGGCGGCCACAGCGTGCACTCGTGATTTATATTTCTCTTGGTCGAGCACAATCAGGTTGTCTATGCTGCCAGCACAGGAGATGGCGTTCACCTAAATGCAGCCACAAAGAGAAAGGGGAGAAGGCTTTTATGATCAACAAACATCTGCCAAATAAATATTGCCATCAGCGTGCAAGGAACGCCTTTCCTAATCTGCCTCGGGACAAAAATGTCATTTCGCAAAAGACACAGGGCTTCAACAACACTAAGGAATAAATCATGCAGAGCACAACAAACATGTTCGGGCGGGATTTATTGATAGAAATTAAGCTGCGCTTTTCTGTCGGATTAATTTTTTTTTTTTTTTTGCTTGACTGGGCAGATATGCAGGAGATTTGGACACAGCAAGATCACAAAAAATGATAATAAAGACTCTCAAGAAATGTGAAAAATCCCAAATGCAAATCACTACTGAATACAGTCAGTCGTGCATGAGTCTCCTTATAAGTGGTTCTCTTTTAAAAAGAGGTAGCTTTATCGGTGTGTTCATCCATACTGATGCAAAAATGTTGTCATGTTTTCCACAAGAGACTTTTCCGTTTGATTATACCTGGATTTCACAGGCATATTGCGCATTGTGAATGTAGTGCAAGGCCTCTTCCATAGATTCACCCAGAGCAATCAAGCCATGATTCCGCAACACCAGAACCTTGAAAAACAAAAGCATACTTATTCAAGGTTATGTATTTAATTGTTGCACAGTCAAGTTCTATTTGTTCTTTTCAGTCATGACAGCCAAAACCACAACACTGAATTGGGCAAAGTGGAATGTTACTCTTTTAACCACACCCACAGTCATTAGGTTTAAAAGTAGGGATGCACAACAACTGTTTTTTTTTCCACCACGGAAGCTAACCGCTGTATTGTTTTTTTAGACTATTAATTGTTAGAGATGAGAAAATCACCGGTGCATCCTACTTAAAGAAAAATTTTATATATATATATTTGAGGCATCTCTTGTTTTCGGTCCACTTGTGTTAATATCAGAGCGATAAATATGACGTCATTTTTTTCCTCCAATATTGGTTCGATCGTGAACTGTTCAATAGTTACTGTGCATCCCTAGTTCAAAGTGTCAAAACACACATCCTGCATGTTTTAAAATGTTCCATGTTGTGTCCCCAAAAGGCTTTCGAACCTTTGCTGTTGGCCCCAGAGCTTTTTGCAGCTCTCTGCGCTCGGCTGGCTCGTCCAGGCTACCCTGGTAGTTGAAATAGGCGATGTCACCCAGGATGAGTGCCTCCTGAGAAATGGGCAGGATGCCGCACTTCATAGAGGACACCTATAAGCAGGAGGGAGAAATAAGCTCAAACTAAGGCAGTGACTTCCAGTCACTATGCTGTGGAATAATATGGCGTAAGAGATCGTCAGGTGTGTCATGCAAAATTATCCAACTTTAATTTATTGCTATAAAAAGTACAATGCAACTATTATGCAATACAATGTTGCAATGTTGACCAATCGATCCCAGCAATGTATTGTGCTTGTGTGGAACAATTACATGGTCTTCCACTAGATGGCAGAAAGTAACCTGTTTACCGTAGCCACCTGTTGCCACACACACAACAGATTAAGTCATGACACGTTTAGAACGTAATTTTGTGACAGTCGACCATTCCATCTATATTGTTTTTATACATCTATTGTATGATATAATATTATATAATCCATCCATCCGTCCATTTTCCTAATCTGTTTATCCTCACGAGGGTCCCGGGCGTGCTGCAAGGTTATCCCAGCTGTCTTCGGGCATTAGGCGGGAACTGGTTGACAGCCAATTGCAGGGCACATGAACAACCATCCATGCTCCCAATCACACCTCGGGACAAATTAGAGTTTTGTGAGGAAAAGCGGATTAGAAAATGGATGCATGGATGGATAATATAATTGCGATGTAGGAGTTCTATCATTAGTTCATTGGGTGCTTAATGTTCCTACTTTACATGTGATCTTCCACTCCCAAATACCAAGCTTACTAAATTGCATTGTGGTTTTTCAAAAAATACATAAGGCCCAATATTAAATAAAGTCACAACATTTAACCGAATTGTATAATTTTCTCAGCAGTATATTGTATAATTTTCTTGGAGTTTTGAGTTATTTGCAAATTGAGTAGATGTTTAATCAAACTCACGGCAGCTGTGGCAGGAGTGTGCACATGGATGACACAGCGGGTGTCTGGACGCATAGAGTAGATGGCGGCGTGGGGGCTGAAACCAGCTGAGTCGATGCTCAGGTTGGTGGAACCCTGCTCGATCACTTCACCAATGATGTTGACCTTCATCTGGGGAAGTCAGGAAAGCAGCTGGAGTCAGCACATTTTTTCCATCATCTTTTTTGTCAATACGATAATGATCATAGATTCACCAACAATTCTAAATCTAATCTCTTCATTTTTACCAAAACATATTGCACCATATTGGCCATTTTCTGACGCCAGTACACAAAGTGAGGTCCATGAAGACCTGCTTGGATGAGTCAGGTGTAGAAGAAATAACACGGTACCCTGACCTCAACCCCATCAAACACCTTTGAATTGAACTTGAACAGAGATGATGAGTCCTAAGCACATCAGTGGCTCTGACCTCACAAATCTGTTCGATGGAAGGACAAAAATACCTGCAAACAAGCTCGTGAGTCTTCCCAACAGCTGTGACAGCTGCAAAATAGGATCAAGTTTTGTACGCCAATGTTTTTTCCCCAAGATAAGAACAAGTGGCATCACACAGACAGCCACCTTTGTACCATCAAATGGTTTGACATTGTAAACTTACATAACCTCTGCTGTTAAAACACATGCATACAACAATGGAGCTGATAAATCTTGACAAAATCAATACAGCCAACACCATACATCACATTAACAACCCTTTTTCCTATCTATAAGAACCACCTCTGGAAATTAACAGTTGCAACTTGTGATATTGCAACTGTATTAATATTTAGTTCTTGAATTATTGGGAGTGATATGTTGAGGTTCAAGACCTGCAAGGGAGAATAGTATAGACGCTGACAAGCGGGAGAGAATGAAGACACCTGACCGAAGAGGCAGATGTGTCAAGCAGAAGAAAAAAAAAATGACCAAAGTGTGTGCAGATGTCAGGGTCTGGCTGAAAGTTAATGGCAAACAGAAACCCTCTGTGGCCTGCAGGCATCGTGCACTGCCACCACATGTTGTTCCGATATAAAGCAGAAAACCTCAAGATCATATTTCTCTTTCACAACACAAACTGTGAGTGTGACTTGTAGCGAGAGGAAAGGGCATCCATCATGCAGTTGGACGCACATGAATCACATTCACCTCAATTGAACACACACAGAATAGATGTTTTTTGTTTCTGAACTATGCTTTAACAACAACAATAATAATAATAATAATAATAATTTTAAACAAATCATAAATCAAACGTGTATACTGCCGTGCCTTTCAAAACACGCAACGACACCGCACAAAACAAATAACACTAAACAAAAGCAGAAAGACGGAACGTGAGCTTTAAGCGCAAGAGTTGTTTGTCCCAGCAAGACCAATGTCACCAAAAAGAGACTAAGGAAAGGAACAAAATGGCTTTTAAATTGTGTCAATGTGTTTAGAATTAAGGAAATTACAACAATTTAAAGACTTGGAAAAAAAATGGAATGGCCTCTGATCGAGTGTGCGAAGCGGCATGCGACTGCGTAGGCACAAGTCGGAGCAAAGAAAAGCATGGAACGACCAATGCCGGTTTGTTCAGTTTGCGAACATCTCCAGTGAAAAGCAACGTTCAAAAGTTTGGATCGTTTGGATCTTATACCATCAAATAAATGTGGAGCCTGCCTTGTCCTAAGTCAGCTTCCTCATGATCCTTTCCAAAATTAGCCATCGAAAACTGATGGAAGTTGCAAACATGTTTCTTTGGCATTTTGGTGTGGTGACTCCATTTGCCAGAATTTACATGACATACAAATGGCATTCCGTTTGTAGTTCGCTGATGATATTGTCCAGTCATTGTGAAATGTTGGTCTGGCATCGCCCTCGCTCAAATGGAAACTACATCATTGGCATGCAATTTATTGATCTTTCAAAACCAGGGCAATCACCACCACCACTGATGTCGACACACTCAGACAGAGGCAGCTGTCAGACAATGGAACATTGATGTGCTTCGATCACGTGTGCAGTAACATTTCACTTCGCCCCGCCGTGCCCTTCAGGAGCTGCTGTGCAGTTAGACAACGCTGCAGCTGAGAGGTCTCCTGCGAGATGCGCCACATTAGTCTGAGAAAGATGTCAAAGGACGTGTCAGAAAGATGTTCAATGTGACATGGCTTTCTGGCGAAGATAAGAAATGTCTAAAAATGGCAATGACACTCAAGAGCAGGGAGAAGTGAGGGTGAGGTGACAGGAAGCAAACCGACCACTTCAGCATAAAGTACAGAGCCTCTCATGTGACATGGATGGCTAAAAATTTGGATCAAATAGCAACTACGCAGCTGCATCAACAAAATTCGAATCATCATTTTTGCCTGGAAACAAAAGTCCAGAGAGATGGAACCAAACTCTCAGCGGTGAAGTCACCTCAACTTAACATTGGATCTCAAACAGACATGGCGAGGTGAGGCAGATAGGAATTGACCAAGGCGTCACTGATAGCTTAATGACAGTTTGAAAATGTCCATTGTAGCAAGCAAGCAGTGTTGGCTGCTGAGTTTATTTTGGTAGCCAAAACATGTTTCATAAAGTATACCTGTAAATTTCAAACAACTTGCATGTCAGGATTATTTGTTGTCAATGATGGTGTCGTGCCCTCTTCCTCCGTGAGCGGTCACGTTAGGTGGAGGGTTTTGCGTGTACCCGTGACCCTTGGAGCTAAGTTGTTTAGGGATTTATGCCCATTCCAAGGTTAGATGAGGTTAATTTATTTGAAAGGAGACAGCAATTTTTATAACTCGGCACATATTTGAGAAACACCTTTCACTACATTGTTGGTCCAATGCAAACAGAGCAGAAGGTGATGACGGTTACACTTGCGTCAAGAATATACGGTGAACACATCCACATCGGACCAGAAAGTATGAGGAGAGGCACTTGTCTGCTATTGTTCAAGTTATTAAAGCAGTAACATATTAATCCAGCAAAACAGGAATGCATGACCGCTCTCAGTGAAGGCTAAAGGCTTTTTAACACTGTTAATTATTAACGAAAACAGACAATTTTCATGTGCTTCAGTCCTGCTGAAAGTTTGCTAAAAGCAAAGTTTAGCTGAAGGACACCACCCAAAACATTTCGGGTTTCTTCATTTTGTGTCATTTTGGTATAATTGCTTTGCTTCAAACCATGTGTGTGCAGATAAACAACAAAAACACGATAAAAAACAATGGTATAGCCCTACATTCACCGAGACATTTGTATTCAAACACAAAGTAGATTTTTCAGATAATGTTTCATTTAAGCGAAATGAATTAAAATGAAGAAGCTGCATTGTTACACAAGGTTGGCACCAAGGCAACTCGAGTCTCACCAGGTTTGACGCAGACGCCTCAGCAAAGGAGAGCCCTCTGGGGATGATAAGGATGTGATCTTGTTCTTTGCTGATTCTGGCCTTTGGAGTAAAAACATAGAGATGTTATTCCTCTACAGTATGGATTGAAAAAAATACCCACACAACATAATAATGAAAAACAATGAATCAATACTTTCCTTCTTTACCGTCAGAGAAGGTTTATTCGCAAAGTGCTTTCCGACTGCGCAAATCGAAATCATGGGTGGGAAAACCTTTTTGCTCAAGGGCCACATTTGATTTTGAAAATGGACACATGGACCATTTGTAAATGAGGTATGAAAAATATATATGTATCATGTTATTTTATTTTTAATAATATATAACCAGCATTTGATGCCAGCCAGGCACTATGGCTGTGTTTTAAACAGACCATCCAAGCTGAGCCCACGTGTTCAATGGGGTTGAGGTCAGGACTGCTGGCAGGCCATTCTATTCTCTCTACTCCCAAATTCTGCAGGTAGTCTCTGATAAAGCTCGCTCCCTGGGGGTCAACATTGTCACCTTGGATAATGATATCCCAGACTGTGGATATATGGTATTGCCATTCGTTGCAGAATCTCATTTGGAAATCTCTTTGCATTAAGATTGCCACCAGTGTTGACAAGCTTTGTTTTTCCAGTGAAGGAGACGCAACCCCACACCATCACACTGCCTCCACCACACGATGCTACTGTATTGGGGGAGCCATGAGAATAGCGTTCTCTGCATCTGCATCTGTAGGAGGACGGAAACTTCTAAAACATGCGAGAAAGTTTGCCCTCGGGGGACCGAAGTTTGAGATTCCTGCTCTAAAGAATGGTTTTGGAAAGTCTTACAGTGACATAGGAGCTGGCAAAATGGGCCCAGTTAAACAGGTCAACCAGTCTGTAGAGGCTGGCCAGTTTACAGCGTGTCAGCTTCTCTCCTTTCACCATGGCGCCCGCTTCCACGTTGTACAAGTCATTAATGGGTGTGACCATCCCCAAACCTGAAAAGGGAAATACAAAATAAAACACACACAAAAAAAAAAAAAAAAAAGTTGACTTTAGTGCTTTGCTTCCTTTTTTTCACGGATGTATTAAACACACCAGGTACTACATCATCTACTAACTTAAAAAAGATGGATTGAGCTGCTGTAATCCCTTTAACATATGATTCAGCATTTACTTGCACATTCCACATGTGCAAATGGAAGTCATAACTCAAAGAGAAAGTGCGAGAAAAATGCATGGCTCTGAGCCCAGATCAGCACATCAGCCTTCAAGAGGGGAAATCTTACATCTTTAAATACGCTTATTATTATTATTATTATTATTATTATTTTTAAACTGTGGGCGTGCGGTTTACACTGTTGACTGGTCACCATGGTGACAGGTCACACAGCAATGAGTACTCACTAAGTGGGGAAGTGTTGTAACCAGCCATTGAACTCGCCATGAAGAAGTCAGCAATCTGTCTGAGGGCCAACAGACCGGTGGGGTTGTTCCCTTTGCGCTGCTGCTCTTGGATCAGACTCTCCAACTCCTCCTTGAAGGCCTGAGGGATGGAAGTTTGGAAAAGAAGATATTAGATGATGTGATGTGACAATATGCACATATTTTTTCAGAACTTCAGGAGAAATGATGGCACGTGCGCACGCACACTTGTGTGGAAAGATCTCGAGGCATGGCGGATTAGAGCACATTGGGAGAAGACAGTGGAAGAATGACTGTGGGAACATGAAGTGAGACACAAGCAGTACTTAATCACAGATTAGCCATGCTCCTTCGGTGACAGCAGGAAGGCAGCTTCAGTGAAGCTGATTGGCTGCTTGGTTAACAAGCATACACACGATAGGCTGAATGGCTAACAGCGTGTGAGATCTTTTGTGTTTGTGAGGCTAATCTTTCCGTCCAGACTACAGTCACCTCCTCAACCTGTGGAAGTGTATATTAACATGTATTTGTGAAACCATGTGAATACAAACGTCGAAGGTCGAGCTGCTCTTGTCGTAAATCTTAGCATTGGAGAAAAGACTAAAGTTGATGACTAAATTACAATTTTATGGACAGATAGAAAGATACTTTATTCATCCTGTGTAGGAAATATCTGATTGAGTGCAATATACTGTATTGCAGTTTGTATCAATTTTTGTGAAAGACACATTGATGAAGTCATTAAATAATTAAATCAATTCAAAGAAATGTGAAATCTTTTGAGCGTGGGAAACCCAATTTCCCAGTCAATTGTCATCCTATCAGGCTGTAATTTGCTGCGCTTATGAAAGAGAGCAATTCTGGATCTGGATCAAGTTTTACATACCTCAGTGATCGAGGCTTGGCAGAGGTCTGCACTAAGGGTGCTTGTCTTGATTATTGGCTAGGTTTAGTCAAAACACTTTTTAAGTAAGTGAGAAAATGTTTGAGGCCTTCATGAGATATTAACATTTTTTTTTCCTGGATCAGTTGTCCTTTGACTGCAAAATGTGTGTCGTACATAAATGTTTTGTAGAATTAGAAAAATGGGTGATGGCACCATTTCCGAGTGAGGACTCTATTAACAAGTATACGCTAATACAGTATTGAAGTTTTGATTGCAACTGTCTGCTTGTAGACACCCTTCGCACTTTGTTGCTGTCCCCAACACGCCAACCACAGGATCATCTGCCAACAGAACTGACCCATGTGAGGGTGTTTTGTGAAAACTGGAGCAACCCCCCTCTATTGGAACACCTCGAGTCCCAGTGCACCGCTGAGTCTGAACCATGGCCAAACATTCCTCTTTCCCTGGCGGTGATGTTGCCGTGGTGACCGACTCAGAGCGGATGTCTGACGGTGAAGCCCCAGCCGTTGTGTTTCGGACAGTTCGGACAAGAGACTTGTTTGCCATCACATTTACATTACAGTGTTCTAAAGGCAGAATCAAAGCTCAGCTGCAGAAAATGCCGTTGTGGGTCCGTTTGGAGGACTCCTGCTACTTATGATGAAAAATGAATGAGATTAGAGCAATTCAATATGCACACATTGGTGTGATACTGGTGTACTCCGCCTTTTTGCCCAAAATCAATGTGGAGATGTTCTAGCTCACCCGCGAACCGAATGAGGACAAGTGTTATGGAAAACCAATAGTGCTGAACTGCTCTGTATCATACAAATATGTGGTTTTGATTAAATGTGAAGTTTACAGCTCTTGTTCTGTACTCACAGGGCATTGGATCAATCGTAACCGGACTGTTCTGGTTGTCTTCAAAGACGTTTCACCTCTCATCTGAGCAGGCTTCATCAATTCATGCAACAAGTCTTGGTTAGGACTGCATCAGCCTGATGTGGCTCTTGGAATGATTGTGGCAGCGTTAGGTTCGAAACTGAACCAAACAAAGTTTTAGGACCCCAGAAATGCAGGCGCAGACACACTGCGATAACAAAAAGATTTATTGACAGAAAAACACACCGATAAAATAAAAACAAAAATCGCTGGTCACAAGGAGCCAGGAAAAACAAGCCATAAACACAAAGCGCTTGCAAAAGGCAGGGTAAAGTAACACTGAGAGTACAAACGAAGTGACATGTGTCCAATTCACACACACAAAAAAAAAAAGAACAAGATCAAAAACATACAAAACCAGGAACAAAGAGAGCAAAACGACTATGAACAAGATCGTGAGCTCTAGTAAACAACACTTGAGCATAAACACCAAGCAAGGTCAATATCCGACGGAGAGTAGGCAACTTGAGCAGTCCCGAAATATCGGGCAAAGCTTCAATTGGGAACAAGTAACAGGTACGCCTGCTGGAGGGAAACGCCCTTCACTCCAGCTGGAGCTGGAACAAAAACAAAAACGAACATGACAGAATGCTGTGACTGGTAAGAGAATATCATCACTTGTTGGCACTCCCAAACTAAAAGCTGCTTGAAGCTTTTCAAAAGACACGCACCCGTCAGATAGACACACACATACGCCAGCAGGCATCTGCTCAACAGTTTGTGTGTTGCAGTACTGAATTCTCAAAAAGATTATGACAGCAGGGATTTGACCGCATCATGCAAACAGATTAATTCTAGGGCTGAAAGTGGATCTAAGCGTTAATACGTGGACCACCCTCCTGACCGCTGCAGCAACAAAAACAACATCAAGGAAGTTGTTGATGCTGCGGGCGGGGGTTTGCAATAACCATCAAATAAAACATCAGGTGAATCGACATAACATTGTGACATCTGTTTACTGATTCCGCCACACAACCTGTACAAATGCATTGCATGAAATAAAACAATGCTGCCCACTGTCACTCTGAGCTTATGAACATGTTTGCACAGAAGAGGTGTTTGGCATCAGTTTTGCCTCTGCTACTAAGTACTAATCGCTCAATTTTTTTACAGCCCCTTTTTGACAACCATGACTTTAGCTGGGCTAGCATCAGCTACATTTCAAGAGAATATCAATAATGACATTCAAAAAGCCACAAAAAAAAAAAAAAAAAAAAAAAAAAACCCTGACCGCTGCAGCAACAAAAACAACATCAAGGAAGTTGTTGATGCTGCGGGCGGGGGTTTGCAATAACCATCAAATAAAACATCAGGTGAATCGACATAACATTGTGACATCTGTTTACTGATTCCGCCACACAACCTGTACAAATGCATTGCATGAAATAAAACAATGCTGCCCACTGTCACTCTGAGCTTATGAACATGTTTGCACAGAAGAGGTGTTTGGCATCAGTTTTGCCTCTGCTACTAAGTACTAATCGCTCAATTTTTTTACAGCCCCTTTTTGACAACCATGACTTTAGCTGGGCTAGCATCAGCTACATTTCAAGAGAATATCAATAATGACATTCAAAAAGCCACAAAAAAAAAAAAAAAAAAAGAATAAAACCCTTTCCCCCTCAAACTTGCTGAGACCCGGCCTGTTATGTCAGCACGATGTTGCTCTCGCTATCCAACAACGTGACGGTGTTACAGAGCAGGATAGTCTGCCTGCAGGCTGGGCAGCGCTATTGATTACGCCAATTTAACCTCGGTGAATGCATCTGTGAAACAAGACCTGCTCCGTAAATATCATCAGGCTCGTTTTAAAGGCGCATTCGTGGAAATGCATTCATGCTTCACATTCAATGTCTAGCTAGCAAGGAAAGCTGCTGCTGCAACGTCATCAAATAAGTACGGTCATTCAATTGATGCCACTAACTATAATCTTTCAAAAAAGAATGTGCCACTGAGTCACGGTGGCATTTTTAGTGCAACGCTGATGCATTTTTTTTTTTTTTTGCATCGAACACAAGTTACAGTTTTATTTGGGATCAAGTTGAACATTTTGTGAGTAATTTGCTTTATTTGATTTTGCATTCCAGCGATAAATAATTAGGACATGAGTAATATGCATTATAAAAACCAAATCAATTTGGTTGAGTCTTTGCCTTGGCTTCAGCAGTTGCACAGGAATTTTCACTAAGTTCATTCCCTAACAGATGCTGAGAAACGACTGAGTGAAACACAGCTGGCTCTGCGGGATGGAGAGTGGTTTTCAAAAGAAATCTCTGGAGGAAGTTCAACCACTAATGTTCTATCAAAGAGACCATCGGGACTTTAAAAGAGAAAGGGAAGAAACCTAATAGAGAGCGGCCGTTATATGAAGCTTCACACAAAAAGGGCTCTCGGCAGAAGCTGTCAAGGCTCATCAATTATCCACTTGTGCTTGCTGACATGTGGCATAGGAAGCGGGCAAGATGCACACTTCCTTTAATTGAAAATACGACAAATAGGACGAGTCGTGTCAACCTGAGGTGTGAGCAAATTAAAATAAGCTTCCACATTGTGGAAAAATGCAGGGGAAAGAAAGCAACCATTCAGCAGGTCAGATGACGATGTCCAGAAATGCCAAAAATAAAAGTAGCATGAGAAATTGCGGTTGAAATTCAATTTCAGGCGCTCTAATCTTTTGACCTTTTAGACCACAGAGCGAGTCGAGTCACGGCTAACTAGTTCTCGGAAGCCAAAAAAAAAAAACAAACAGTCAGCTTAGCTTTGCAAATCCTTTGGCGGGATCTGCATCCAAACCAATTTTTGTTTAGCAAACGTTAAAAAAAAACAAAAAAAAAACAAGCAAACCAAAACAGCCTCTCAAGCACCCTCAAAGAAATGTCACACAAATCATCTTACTTCATTTAGCACATAAATCCCATACATTGGAAAAAAAAAAAAAAAAGAGTACACTGAAATCAGACATATTCGTGACATAAAGGATGATATTACTTTTCCCTTTTATGAGGCCTATGCAGTTTTACAGTGGGAGCGAGATTCATATCTCCGAGCATAATCTAACATATACAATTTCTCCTCGTAGGGCCTCAAAGGAAACGTCATTATTTATTTGAAAAACGCCAATAAACTGAAAGGGGTTATTTCACATGTGAACAGTGAAAAACAACCTTCCATTGCACTGTACATTAAACTATAAAAACAGTCTTGAAAAAAAAAAATCAGAGCGTTTTGAACTTCGCATGGAATTTATTGGTATTAACAAGTGTCAAAAGAAGTTAACTACTAATGTATTGAATAATGTGAAACAGTCCACCTTAGATAAAAACATATTGGGCGTATGCCTTTCACTATGACTGCCTGTGCCTTCATTTGAATTCAGTACCTCTAATTAGTTACATGACAGAGCATAAAGGTGTGAGAAAAAGTGTTTAGTATAATGCGGGAACATTCTATACCACTGCAAACTACCACCACAAAAGATGAACATAGTTGCTAAATTAATACAAATTTGCGTGTAAATAAAAAGAAGATAATTTGTAAAGGCGCAAGATTTGATGCAATGCTTGTATTGATGAACATTTTATTGTGTTACGTGGACATAATGTTGTGGCGGTTGGTTGTCTCCATTGTCTATTAATCCAGACAGTGAGGCCTCGAAAGGATTCGGCGTTACAGATTTAAACTTCCAAAAAAGTAAACACAGTTGCACGATGGATGTAGCTGAGTCGTTCCAAGTCTGGTCTATATTGGTCTGCCTTTATACGCAACCTGCAATCTGAGCATAAGAAGCATGTAATCTACGAGTCCGCTAGTCTTGGAAGAGTGGAATACAAGCAAACAGAAAGTGAAGGAGAGACTGAGAAAGGAAGACAAGTCGTGAGAAGGAGGCCGCTGAGCTACGGACGCGTGCAGTTATGTTGTATTTTTGTATTGTTGCTAAAGATGATTTGGCGTAAGAAAGTGAGAAAGAAACATTTCGGGACACGGGAAAAGACGCCCCCAAAGTTGCACCCCTCAAAAAAGGAAACGTGCACAAGACATGCACTGTATGCAACATGCACCGTAAACAAGCTAATGGTAGCCACAGCTTGTGTTACTGTGCAGTCCTATTTTCGTAAGCAGGCGCCCCTGTGCTTGGCATGAAAAACGGGCGCATCTTCAATTAGATGCCGGGCAAAGTTGACTTGAGCGTGTTTACTAGGCATTCCGGCAGACCGAGAGCGTTTTCTACTACATTTCCCCGGCGTACCTGCCAAATTGGTGAGAGGAAATAGATTACATTTTATACAACCAAAAAGCAGGGCTAAATAGCAGCAAAGGCGGTGTAAGGCAACTTTGGTGGATTTGATCAACGCGCAGGAAGATATATTTGGCGCTCCATGGATATGTGTGATGGGTGTTATCGGATTTGATTCATAAATATGACAACAGCGTGAGACAATTCCTACGAATCATTGTCAAAATCAATTCATCGAACTAATAATCATTATCATCTTAAAAATATTTTAAAAGCACCTCCACGCCTGCACAGCACAACTATTGCCCATTGTCAGATGTGTAGCCAACAACATCATCCGCAATGGGAGATCCTGCAGGTTTCCTGGACAAACGCACTTTAACGCGTGCCAATGTCATGCACGGACCCCAGCAAGTCAATTTCTGCTACCGCCAAGTCAAGTCAAAAGTCTGAGTCAAAAATGAAAAAAGTAGATTTTTCTTTCCGAAAATTGCAGTCTCCCTTTTAAATATGATATCCATTATGCCAATAGATCCATCCACTTCATGGATGATATTTAAACAAGAACAATCATACATACTCTTGAGTTTTACTCTGTGTGAGAATCAATAATAACAGGTCCTATTTCAAACATCTGCGAGCGCTTCAGTTGAACACAGCGCTGAACAAATATTTCAGGCACTAATCGGGCTGAAATGACATGTTTGTTGTACCATCTTGACAAAATGTGATGTCAAGTGTTCAAAGGGCAAATTACAAAGTGCAATGCACAGACATGATACTAAGCAGTGTTTAAATGAGTTCACAAGTGTTGCTATTGAGTTCCTGCCTGGGAAACAATCAAACCTAGGGACAACAAGCAGACAAAACAATCGGAATCATTTGTATACATGGTCTACCGTTTATAAAAGGCAAATTGTTCACCTAAACAGCACCCTCGAACTGTGTGCCTAAATACTTGGCAAATGTATATCCTTGAAGGAGCTCCAAGATCACAAACTGTACCTCCAATACTTATCTCGAGTTTGTCTCTTAGAACTCCTGTAATTCTCAAGAATCTGGACCTCCAGGGATAGAAAAGCAAACAACAGCATTACAAGTGCTGGCAAGAATATGCCCTGCCCTCTCAAAGCTGCTGACTACCACAAAACCTGACCCAACATGAGGGCTGCTGGGCTGAAGCTGAGCAAAGGTGTGGTACAAGGTGCTTCTTTCAGGATTTTAGCTTGCCACTGATATTCTGTTTCCAATTATTTAAAATATGTAGCTGAATATGCTACAACCCAGCCGCTGGGGGGCAGTGCCCTCCCCTGGGGGTGCACTGTTCCCCAGTGCCGGTCCCAAGCCCGGAGAAATGGGGAGGGTTGCGTCAGGAATGGCATCCGGCGTAAAACTTTTGCCAAGTGTAGCTGAATATGCTACCACCTGTTCAACCTTTCCAGAAGAGGTTTGCTTATTCAATCTATCAGTGTGTGGGTTCTGAAAGAGTTCATGAGGTTTTCCATTAACTCATCTGGAACTCATTTTGTTCTTTAGTTATTTAAAAGTCCTGAACGAAGACCGTACCAACACAGATTTTGAGGGGTTATCGTATACTTGTAATAGCAAGTACTGTATATTATTCCCATGAAGACTTTGCTTGTCGCCAAAGCCACCAAACAGTGCAGTTCACTTCAGTTCAGTCATGCTTTGGCTTGTATTGTCAAAGGATTTTTTTCAAAGTAACCTTTCTATATAGAATTTAAAGAAAAAAAATGGCATTTTGGAGTCCCAAAAAGCACACAGTTGAAAGCAGTGGACATAGTGGAAACGGAGCACACATGTCTTGGGCATGGATGACACATTCTGCGTGAGTCACAGCCAGAAGAGCAATGGGGGAAACATAGCACTGCTGTTGCATTTGTGCTGACGTTTTGCCAACATGTTGTACATTTAATACACCACTAATGCATCCAACTGAGTAAGAATAACTACGTTATGCCAAATGCTAACCAATGTCTGGAGTGCTTCTTTTGAAATTGGCTTTGCCAGCTACTGGTGTGGCCCATACTGATGACGTTATTGTTCGATATTTACTCGGGCTGTATGATTTGGGAAACTAATCTAATCCAATTCAACTGTGACTGATCAAAGGAATCAAAGGAAATGGGCAAGTGGCTTGTAATGTAGGAATATTATAATGTGGAATAATGTGGAATATTTGTACACGAGATTTCAGTTGTTGTTGCCAGTCACATGAATGAACAGAATAAGTTATGGCTTGCTAGGACGATGGAAACTTGGTGTTCCACTGAGCATTCCCAGATTTCACACTGAGTAAGTCAGTTGGTCAGTAAATTAAGACAAGATCATCACTATTTCAGTAGTCATATCTGTTTGTGACATTTTTTGTTTGGTGGTCTGGTCCAATATTTTTTTTTTCATGTCTATGCCAAAGCCCAATAAAGGTCGGGAAACACTGAGTACTGAACATGAAATTTTCTAGATTTTTAATTAATTGTTTTCATGCAAAAATTTGCAAATTTGGTGATCAGTCCATCAAGTTAATTTTCAGTGAGCCTGCGTCACCAATATATATGTATATATGTTGTGACATTTGCTTTTGTGTGTACTCACACTCGCCATTCAAACAGACCTGGTCTGACCTGAGATCAAATGTACCAGTGTGTGACTGTGTGTATTTCGATCACAGTATTTATTTATATGGTAATGTATATTTTCATGCGCCTCTGCATGACCAAACCCTTGCCAACCACTTCCAAGAATATCTGAGGAGGGGAAGTGAAAGTGTACCGTACTTGGGCATGCATCAGTGTACTCACACTAGTGAAGCATACCAGACTTTAGGTGTGGAGATAAGGTTATTTGAACTTACAGGGCTTTGTAATATCTGCGTAACCCGTTTTTTCTGTTCCAGAACGTTGAAGTCCTGCCGGAGGTCCGCCGACATGTTCCTGGTTCTGAGGTACTCCGGATCGTTGACATTGACTCGATCAAAGTAGCGCTCTCTGTTCCCGCCACTGGGTGCGGGAGGGGTGGTCACAACCCCCTGGTGGCTGTCCACACTCATCCCTGTTTCGTTTCACTTCTTCGCTGAATGTCTGCCGCTCTGAATCACACCTGAGGAAATCGAGAAAAGGGGAGAGGTTAGACTAAAAATGCACTCTATAAAAATTCAATTACATTCATAAAAATGCTATTTTGTCAAACAGTATGGCACATGGCATTGCCAAGACCAACATCCATCCATCCATCCATCCATTTCGAATACGCTTATCCTCACAAAGGTCGTGGGCGTCCTGGAGCCTATCCCAGCTGAACACTCATTGATGGAGAAAGGAAAAACAGAAAATACAAAATTGCATCAGTGGCTGCTGTAGCTGAGGATAAGCCGCTGGTGTATGAGGGAGGGGTGGGGCCAATGTGAGCTCTACCAGATGGTGTCTTGGTTCAAAGGGCGAAGGAATGACAGGAAGAAATTTAGGAAAGGAATCCAGAGGATGGGTACCAAAATGAATACAAGCTGACCACTTTCCCTCCTAAACGGAAGGGCAGACGGATAACACTGTTATGTAACCTGGTATTATATTCACCCCTCTGCTTGCCTGTAGGGGAGGCTTTCAGGACAACCATAAACATTGTGGTGCAATTTGCATCAGCAGCAGAAAATACTAAAATGCGAAAGAGTAACACATCAACGTTTCAGGATTTGTGGACCCCCACAAAGATCTAGAGACATTAGTATTGCATGAACAAAGTGTGATTAAAAAAAGTTATTGGTTTTGTATAGTTGCGCTCTGTATTCATCCAGCATTAATTATCCCAGAGTGACTACTGTCATTCATCCATCCATTTTCCCAACAGCTTATCTTCACGAGGGTTGCTGGAGGTCTGGAACCTATCCCAGCTGTCTTTTGGTGGCAGGCAACGTACACCTTGAACTGGTTACCAGCCAGTCACAGTAATTCTGTAATTCATCCAATAGTTACTATATAGTATTGTGTATACATTTCATTTTACATTAGAGGTTAGCCTGATTGGATTAGCTCCGGTCAGTAAAAGATGAATAGACACACACTAACAATAAAGGGATTGAAATGCATCAAAATTATATCTGACAAGGTGTTATTTGTCCGAACGTGAGGAATTTGCTAAATGCCGGGAATTATGCCTTTCAAAAACACAACAGTTGTCGCCTCAACAAAATATATTAAGCCCCTTTAAGTCTATTAGTCGGAACAAAAACAGCACACACACACACACACACACACACACACACACACACACACACACACACACACACACACAGAGTTGTGTAACAAGTCCAGCAGCATGAGGTGTCCCACCCCTTGCTTTTACATTCTCTTTTCAGTATCTCTTGTTGTCCCCGTCGTGAACCCGATCTCTCCTCACACCCAGCTAGAGAGTGAATGTGGGGTGGTGGTGAGCCTTATTGGGAGAGGGTGGGGTCTAAGTAATATTCTTGTAAAAGAAATATCAATGTTTAAAATCCAGAATCAGTCATATTAATGCCGGTTAGACAAGTATTAAATTAGGTCCCATAACCAATGCCGTGCAACAAGTTGACATGAAATCCACACACGCAAATTCAAATTGGACCATGGTGGTGCGTTGCAATACACTCAAGATTACATTTGTGTCCCATAGATGACTCAGACTATATTTATTCAAGCAGCGTGAGACCACGATGTGCAGCCCAGCGTGAGGTGACCACGACCTTGAGCCCCTGTGACATTAGTATGCTGCATGCACTCCTCAAATCAACTCAACTCAATTGTATTTATAGAGCACCAACCACAGCTGTATCCAAAGTGCTGTACATGGAGCAAATATATCTACAACAATAACAATAAAACAACAAATTAATCACAAAGACAGTAGAAAGCACAAAAACAGTAAAACTAAGATCGAGCCTGAGTCATGCTGAGTCAAAAGCCAAAGAATACAAATGAGTTTTGAGACGAGTTTTAAAGATGGGCAGCGAAGAGGCTTGCCGAATGTTCAGTGGGAGGTCATTCCAAAGAAAGGGACCAGCAACTCCGCTTAGTTCTTGGTACCTCTAATAGTGTCTGGTCATCAGACCTGAGGCACCGGTCAGATGTGTAGGGGCAGTGGAGCTCAGAGAGGTAAGGTGGAGCGAGGCCATTTAAAGATTTGAAAACAAATAATAGGATCTTAAAAAGAACTCTAAAATGTATTGTGAGCCAGTGAAGGGATGCCAGAGTAGGAGTGATGTGCTCCCTCGTACAAGTACCAGTCAAGAGGCGAGCAGCAGCATTCTGGACCAACTGGAGATGCTTAATGGAGGAGTGGCTGACTCCAAAGTAAAGTGCATTACAGTAATCCAGCCGGGACGTGACGAAGGCATGTATTACTGTTTCAAAGTGCTCATGAGAAAGGAGAGGTTTTATTTTAGCCAGTTGCCTAAGATGAAAGAAGCTGGATTTAACAACGGCACCAATTTGACAGTCCAATTTAAAATCACTGTCCAGTTTAAGACTCATGTTTGAGACTGTTGACTTAAGATATGTAGCAAGGGGGCTCAAGTCTTCAGGATGGGATGCACAAGGGCCACTGGGACCAAACACTATCACTTCTGTCTTCTTTTCATTGAAATTCAAGAAACACTTCTGTCTTCCTCACTATATTCACTCACACAAGCCATCTTCATCTGAGCGGAAGCCGTCCATGACAATTTTCGCATCTCATTAAAAAGGTACTTTCAACCGATCAGGTCTGTAAGGCCACACAGCAACCGATGTAAATGTGCAAGTGATAAAGTCACCATTTCAGGTGATCCGAGGGCACCTCTTGTATTTTTCTGGCCCTTTGCCACAATTGGGATCTGCACTGAAATCATTTTTCTTTTCTGCATGTATGAGTTTAAATCTGTCCAATTAACAGAACGCTGGTGATTGAATTAGTGTTTGGTCCACATGAATGAATTGGGGTTGACAGGGGCAGACCAGCTCAGCAGAAGCAGCAGCACTAATTGCTGGCTCCAAAATAACAATTTAAATGAAACAAGACTTCTCAGAAACATGGTGGATATGCCACACCGTTGTATTATATTACACTTGTTGACCTCGGTGACACTGATGCAAGACTGCATTCCATCTTGAATTTCTTGAAGTTTACAGAATAAGCTCCCTCTTCGATCTCAATGATAGCAGCTTACTGTTTATTAGCAGGAATGTTCACCCTTCATGCATCGCTGCTCCAATGACATTTGGAGCTGGTCAGGAGCCAGCAGTTCGGACTACACACAACACTCCATCTTCCACATACAGCAAGCAGCCATGTACTCGCATGTCCATATATTGTAATTACTTTTGCAGTACAGTAAATAAACCTATTGAAACTAAATGTGACTAGTGTCACTTCTCCACCGCACTTAAAAAGTGAGTCATACATACAAACTTTAACACTGTACTGTCCACCTGATTTGGATGAGGAAAAAACCTCAAATTAAAATTGAAAGTCTAGAGTTCAAACATATCTCGTTGGTTTCATTTTAGCCAAAAAGATGAGTATGTGCCAATATTTATGGACCTGGCCGAAATACTGCGATGTGCAAAGCAATGGCACAGCAACACAAATCACGCCCTTTTACACTATGTTTTTTTTGGGGGTGGGGTTTTTTTATTTTTTTTTTTTTGTCTAGTCCAGCTGTGTATCTTCACAAGTCACAGTGACACAGCAATAATGAACATGCTTGGAAAAATCAGAGAGCAGCAGTGTTTTTTTTTTTCTTTCCATCACCCATTTGTTATCAGGTCGGTACATTTGGAACATCAGTTGGAAAGAGAACACGCTTGAACATGCATTTGCCAACCGCCAATAGTGATTAACACGGAACAGTGGAAAAGGAGCATATATTTTGTGAGATCTTAGAAACCCTCCCTTCCTGAACACGAAAGTTGTTATTTAGGAGAATTATGTCAAATGAATAACCACTTCAATGCACACCAACTGACTTGTTCAAAAATTTGTGGAATGGCGAGTCACTGGGCACAGAGGACACCATTACTTTTTAGTGCAGATCTGCAAGAGGCAATTTCAAAACGGGGATCATTTCTATTTTTCTCATTTATTTTCCTCCATGCATCCTCTCGATGGCACTTGTCCTCATTTGGGTCACAGGTCAGCAGGAGTCAGTGACCCTGGGCTGCTTACCAGCCAATTGCAAAGCATCAAAACAAAAACAATCACGTGCACATTCATCGATTCACACACCTGGAGCTATGGATAATTTGGCGTCTTGAATGAACCTACCACGAATATTTTTGAAATGTCCACACAGGAAGGCAGGAGCAGAAATTGTAATGACTTAATATAAAAAATAAAAAAAATACACTCAAAAGGAAACATTAGTAGGAGGTGGTGTCTATTTCTTCAGGTTTAAATTGTTTTTTTTCGGACTGTTACTCTCTTGGTGGAGGCCATTACTCTTCTGAGTGCCATTCTCGTCGTCACTACGGTCACTGGGCAGTCGCACTGACAAACATCTACCGGTATTTATTTACATACATATTTCATACTTGGGGGACACACCAAAGTGTGACTCCGTACGTATCTACTAGCTGTCACCTCTAAATATAGACTGCTTTGTGGGTTACTTTACAACCCCAGCAGTAACAATACCAGGAAAGAATCTCTATGGCAGCTAATTATATCCACACATGCAAAATCCTCACATAGACTTACAGTTCAGTGCATGCACATATACACACACACACACACACAGGAGGGGGCGTGTTTCCACGATTAAGCACGCCAGTATGACAGAGCTAGGCAGTGAAACCGGAGGACAGCGTGCAAGGCAAAATCTGAGCAACTGAAAGTCACACGCAGCATGCGGGTCTGTTTTTTGACTTGGATAAGGGGTTTCCGTGCGCAACAGTCACACCTTTTGAAGTCATTCATTTGTATTTCAGAAAACAATGCTCTGGTGCTGCGGTGGGCCTAAGGTGGCTCGTCTGCGTCGCCTTTCACATAAAGACTCCACACATGAGATAATAAGTAGCGCTAATCTCCTCTGGCACTCACACTCACTGCATCGTTTGCACCATGTGTGTTTATCGTGCAGCACCGAGGGTCCAAGCAAACCGTACTCGCGTGGCATTCCCCTAAAATTAAAAATCAGTCACAGGGTCGGAATGACTGGGAGTCGCAGCTATGCTCCAACACAACACAAGACACGTTTAGGCTTCACTGAACGACAATGTGGCCGGATGAAATAAACTCTCGCAGACAGTTTTAGGACAGCGTGCTGGGAAAGCCAAAGCAGGTGTAAATAATATACAAGCCCAACCAACCTTTTACTTCCTTCCTCTTTGGTCAGTGAATGGGAGAGAAGCGGCAGTGGTGGTAGGTGGCAAAACAAAAAGAAAAGCACATGTCTCTTTTTCTCCTCTCTAACTTGCTGTCTGAAATCTGGCATAAACTCCCACTGACTCAGAGCGAAAAAACGATCGAGAGGGTGTGTGAGATAGAAAGAGGAGGATATGAATCAAGGGATCACCAGGAAGCGATCGTAAAAACAAATCGGTGCACTTGTCAATCTAGAACAGATCCTCCATGTAGCTGCTCTAGTCGAGTCGTAATCGAGCAAACCGCAGAGCTGCTTTCTCCCTCAACTTCCTGCAGGGCTTCTTTGCTTCTCGCCGTTCACCAGAGAGAGAAATATCAACAGCTGGGAGTCTATATGTGAGAGGAACGGGTTATGTGTGTGCGCACTCTGCAAATGAGGGGATGTGTGTAAAAGAAGCTAAAGCAACCACGTGATGCAGGCTTAATCCCCCACCCAGTGGCTCTCACTCACTCACTCACTCACACACACACACACACACACACGCACGCAGAAACATGTTGACCAATCAGAGGCAGGCTCACACAATAATCACCCTTCCTGCTCCTCCCTTGCTACCTCCTCCTCTCTCGTCCACACTCTCCCTCTCTGCCCTCCTTCTCTCGTTTTCTTTGATCAATTCAAAACCTCAACACTCTTCCACATTCCACAGTCCTTGCTCTCTTTACATCTCTCATTCAGACAACCTCACATAGCCCACAACCGTCTCTGGGCAGCTCGACTATGAGGTCGCGGATTATGACGCCGGCTGGCCGCAGACTACGCAGCCTGCTGCAGTTGACTGATTTATAGTTCATTGTTTACAAAAGACACACATAGTACATTAGACTCAAATGGCCCCTCGGGCGACGGATAACAAATGTGCTCTGAAATGTGTCAGGGAAACATCGAAATGCAATGATGCTCATATCCCGGGACAGCCATACAGCAACTGTTTGTGAATCTGGTTCAAGCCACTAATTGTGCATCCTTAATTGATACACAAAATTTCAATCCAACTTTAAGTAGGCCGCTTCTTTATTTTGTGACAGACAAACCACTTTACAACTTCATACAACAGTTAAATGAATGTTGAACGTGTTAATTATTTAATTGTAGTTTGCTGTAGCGTAGAACTGAACCGTATTACACAAGAACAAAAATAGTAATAAATAATAAAATGTGAACTACTAGCACTAGTACTACAATGCAAAAACTTGCAACAGTCTGGGCAGGTATCATTATTCAGCATTTGATGAACAACAACGACTATACATCCAGCACAAAGTCACTTTAAACAGTAGGAAGAAACAAATCATGAGAAACTTTGATTGCAGCTTTACCCATCAGATCACTGATCCCGTCCACCACCTCTTTAATGGGTGTCTGACAGATTCTGTTTTCAATGCGCTACAGCTTCATAAGATAAAAGTTATGAATTTAAACAGACAAAAAAGTCATTCATTCATTCAAAATGGCAATGGCTAATTAATGTACAGTTTATTAAATTATTTATATCAAATGCATTTCACTGTCTCAATATTGAATTATGGCACAAGAAAATCCTCCTTTGCCGCGTGCATATTTTCACTTTGGCGTGGCTTATTTCGACACAATACATGTGTATATGTGAACATATATTATATTGTATATATATTCCTTTCATAACTTTGCTGCTGTGAATTGGGAATTTCTCCATTGCGAGACTAATAAAGGTTTTCTTATCTTATATCAATTATCTTTACACAGAGCAGCAGGTTCTTTAGCCAACGGTTTAACAAAGATTTGTATTTTTTTTTTTTTGGTGGTAATTTTACAACTAACGGCTCTCATCTAACAGGTAAACTGCCAATGAGACTCTGTTTCGCTATCTTAAAAAGTACGCAACGGCGCCTCCTCCGTATCTGTCCACCTGCTCTGATGCCATAAACCTGTCTGGGTGAAACATTGCCAATAATCCAGCTCTGTCTATGAGAATGTAAAATGTGTTTTGAAGAAAATATGCATACTACAGTCTAAATTCTGCTTTTCCAACTCATGTTAAGCAAGATGTTGAACTAAGAACAAGTTCCAAAACAGGAAGCTATGGCGGTATCAGCAGGCCCATTAATGTGGTACAACAAGGTTGTAAGGGATTTGGTATCGGGATCACATTACACGTTAAAATAGGCGGACATGATTGACAGTTTGGAATAGACTCTGGAGTGTAGATTTTAAAGTGAAACTAGAACTCCAATCTTCTCAAGTAGTAGGCTGAAAAAATGACTGGGTGTAATAACATACACGCTGTCATTTTTACAGCAGAGTGTCCATTAATGTATAACTTCAAATACGGGGGTAGGAATGAGATAAGGTCATACTTCCTGCTATTCAAAATATTAATGATCTGGTATGTGTAAGCAGGTCATTAGCTTTGTTGTATTGATTATTTTTTATGTTTCGCTCAGCTTTTTTTCTTTTCTCCCTTGCTTTTGATGATAATTGGATTCTTTTTTTCACAATTTACCCTGCTGTATTCTTATTTTTATGCATGTTTGGAATAAATTGTTAAAATAATGTTGTTATGCTGCAGAATAATTCATGGACTGGGTGTTGCGCTCTTTAAATATTAGCACATGCAAAAGGAGCAACTGTTTGCTTCGCCTCCAAGAATGAGAGGACTCAAATTATGTATTCATTGAATTAACTTTGAGAGGAATGGTGATAAAAAAAAAAAAAAAAAAAAAAAAAGACACAATAGTAAATGACTTTCCAGCAGCATACAGCAAACATATGACAGTAACATGTTTTTGAGTTATTGTTTTGGAGTTATTTCACTTTTTTCTTTTTTAATTTGACCTATAAAAATCTTGCACAATACAGATTTTAATCTGCATTGTCATTTATAGGGATGATGTTTCTGAAAAAAAAAAAAAAATTCCACCTGCTGCTGAACATAACCCCTATTTTCAGAAATATTACAAAATACACTACTTTAATTGATGGAAGTGATGGAAAAAAAAACATTCATAAAGAAAACCAGAGACTGTCAGTCGAATGTCGAGCTGAGCTAAGATCCAACAATTGAAATTTGGATCAGCCGCATTTTGAACACATTCACAAACCATGTTCCTTAATTTCTCTCTCTCTCACTTCACTCACTCACTCACTCACTCACTCATGTTTTATGGCAGCTGCTGCTCATGGACTATGGCCAGCCACTTTATCTCCCTCATTTCCACTCGTGGTCACACCCAAAAATAACTTTACATTGTTTGTACAAAAACACAAAAAACTATTTCGCTCTGTGGAATGGCGCAATAAACAGATGGAAAAAAGATATGTGGGAGTTGACCTACTCAAATAGAACCGTATTTCAACAACTAAATGGTGTTAGTCTTTAAATGACTCAACAGATGGGAAACATGTTCAAGCTCATCATTAATCATGACATCACCGTGCCCCACAATCTTTTTCTAATTGTGGTATAATTTTCTAACTGAAGCTCGGGTACGTGGCTGTGAATCTGCACACACACAGTCGTGTGCAACTAAGGATCTTTTTTTTTTTTTTGGCTTCTTTTAAGTCAACTTGTTTTGATGAAAGAAGGGTGGAGGGTTTTATTTTAAACAGCTGGAACGTTTTCTGCTTTGAGTTCTACCCTACTGTATGGTTGATGGTGAATGCAAGATATTTCTCCTTTGCGTTAATGGAACAAGTGATAGAAGTGGTTTTCATGAGTGGCTGGCAGTCCCCAAATGTTGGGACCGTGCCAGTCGAGTTTGGTTCCTCAATATAAAAGGCCTGGTCTTGCTACCATTCGAATGATGTAAGCAGAGAACACCAGGACAACTACAGCGGGAGGGAGGTGGTGACATTCATGACTCACTGATAACTGTCGGTCTGTCTTCTCCAGATAGCTCATCACAGACCGAAGGCGACCAACATCACTGCTTCACGTCCACTTACAATAAATCGCAGATGACGTCAAACTAAATACAGGCTGGAAAAGGGCTTCATCCTCTGTGCAAACTTTTAGAAAAGTTTAGTTAATGAATCATCTGTCCACCCTTGCACTTTTAAGTAATCCCATACAGTGGTGAAGTCACTCGTCCTTTCCGTGACCCTCCTGATAAGATGTGGACAAAAACAAAAAACCCAACAGAGGAGGACCGCTGAATGCACACTGGCACCCATTCACGGGAATGCAAAAACACAAAATTCATGACTTGCACCTCTGCATTTTTCTTCCTCCAAAAACAAAAAGCCAAACTGGTGTGGGGACATTCATAGGAAATTAGCAGAAATAATCTTCCAGCAATTTCGCAGCCTGTCTTTTACCTCATTTCGCAAAGGGCGGCACCATGTGGGTTGTAGTCCTGATAACCTGGAGGGTCGAAAAGGCCTATTTCTTATATCATGTGGAGTGTGTATCCACACACACACGCACACACACACACACACACACACACACACACACACACACACACACACACACACACACACACACACACACACACACACACAAACATGTTGATTAATCAGAAGCAGCTCTACATGTACGCCCACATACAGAGAGTTGTCACTCCATCCATTTATCCTGTTCTTAACAGCCTGTCTACTTTGACGCTTCCGTGTGAGTGATCCTAAATCGCCACTAATCCATTTTTGAGGGCGGAAGACGCATTTAGTCGGATGCTCCTGTATAATGCAACGAGACGTAGTCACATTCACTTTCGGGGACAATTGCAGTGAACAATCTGGTTAATGGTTGCACTGCTGTGTTTCGAGCAAAGCAGAGAGAACAAAAACAACAAGGATGCACTCAGACAGCATTGTGTGGGTGGGCTTGTGGCTCAAATGCCAAGAGAAGACCGCATAGGACAAGCGATGCAGCAGCGTGAGTGTTTGGATCTGCCAAGGGGTCACTCTTATTGCTTCATTTCCTTCATTGATTGTGATTTAATGAGTTGTGGAAGTGACGACGGGAAGTCTCCGCCTGGTCATCATCTCATCTGATGTGTTACCCTCGGTCAAGTTGAACTCAACTGACAGATTGCTGAGCAGCGAGAACAGAACCGCATACGCTGCATCTGCTCATTTAGGCAGCGTGCAGGACCGTGACGCAACACATTTCAATGTTCATCATTTGCTGTCATTTTTATTCCTTTTAAGTACCAGATCCAAGTTGAAATATGTCATTTGATAATTATTTCACTGTGAGATGGCTAACACATTACATTACAGTACATATATATCGATATGATTGTGTCACCACTGATGCTCGAAGCAGATGTGACAGTTGATCAAATCCATGTTGGCGACTATTAGGGTAAGACTGATATGAGAGGGCAAAGAAATGTGGATCGTATGTGCACGTTCCATGAGCGCTTGTTACTTGAAATCAAAGCCTCAAACGGAGGATTCCTCCTCCTTTTGTTT